AATACTGCAATGTATCAACTTTTGAAAATTTACGAGTATGATAATGAAATGATGTGCTGGAGAGATAATCTAGACATTAATAAAGTTTGCAAGAAGGGCATTTATACTAAGCTGCAACCACAACTAACCATATTAATTTAACTCCATGTAAAATGAAACTGTTAATATCTAAATAAGACAGACAGACGAACAAACAAATGATAGGCACCTGGAAATGTTGTTACAATATTAATTTTCAGGTAATGAATCAAACCCTTTGTCCTGAAACATTCTACTATCCACAGTTTTTTTTCCATATTTGCATATGAGAAGGAAAGAAGTTGCAATGACTTTCAGCATAAGCACTGCCTATCCAGATTGTTTCTGGAAACTCGCAAACAGGAGTTGGTAAGGATGGTCTTCCCTTCTTGGGTGATGCCCCATAGCTTCAGGTCCCCAAAGGTCAAGCCTGATTATGCAGGGAGGTTCTATTCAGCTATCACCAACAGAATGGTTCTTTAAAGTTTGCTTCTTTCCTGATTTGATATTCTGTGTATTTTTAATAAAGAAGAAGCAAAGAACTACAGAAGGAACAAACTCACAATACACACCATCTAATCTCTTTACAGTTTTGTGACCCTCAGCTGCATAGCATGGAAGATTAATAGTGATGGCTACTGATTATTCAGTTTAATTATACTTTATATGTAATAATGGCTACGCCAAACTGTTGTGTGGTCCTTGATTTTTCCCTTAGTTTTATAAGACTGGTTAGATTTAAAGAAAAACATTTCAAGTCATTGCAAGTTACTAATAAACAGAACCTAATAAAAGAGGAGTAACACTACTTGTGCTCAGTTTATGCAAATCTGCAAAGAATCTTTCTTAGCTAAATCGTTTGTGAAGAATGAACATGAATACAAGTACATACTGTGTAACCAGGCTGGGATTGTTTTTTTTTTCTGTGAAAGGATAGATTACATTGTTCACGTGAGTAGTTTCCTTTCTAATTGAAGAAAATAGAAAAACGGTTCATGTTTGGGGCTCTTCTTTTCCAATGAAAAACAATGGATTGTTACCATATTTTTAGGCACTGGCAAAATGTAACTCAAATGCAGAAAGCTACCAAACCCTTTTCATGTTGAACTCAGGATCCCAGTTACAAAGCCAACATCGTTCTCTGGAAATGGCAAAAATGTCTCATCTAAGAATTTCCCTCATTCCTCTCAGCCATTCAGTTCAAAATTCTTGTCAATTCTGTCCTACTAATTGCATAGTGACGGGTTACTGAGCACCTACAGAAGGCTTGTAAAGACTGGGAGGGACCAGCCAATTTAACTCCTTTGATCCCAGTGAATGTAAATAGGAGTAGATTAAGACATCCTTTACTCTCCTCATTAAAATAAATGGAACTGAAAAGTGCTAACGTCTGGTTGAATCTTATCCACTATGTTGGTAGAGAGCCCTAAAGAATTGGCATTCAGTGTATACCATACCGTCTAGGTTTGTCATGGGAGGAAAGCGATGACAAACCTAGACAACATCTTAAAAAGCAGAGGCATCACCTTGCCGACAAAGGTCCACATAGTCTAAGCTATGGTTTTTCCAGTAGCGATGTATGGAAGTGAGAGGGGGACCATAAAGAAGGCTGCCTGCCAAAGAATGGATGCTTTTGAATCGTGGTGCTGGAGGAGACTCTTGAGAGTCCCCTGGACTGCAAAGAGAACAAACCTATCCATTCTGAAGGAAATCAACCCCGAGTGCTCACGGGAAGGACAGATCCTGAAGCTGAGGCTCCAATACTTTGGCCATCTCATGAGAAGACTCCCTGGAAAAGACTTCCTGATGTTGGGAAAGAGTGAAGGCAAGAGAAGAAGGGGACAACATAGGATAAGATGGATGGACAGTGTTATTGAAGCTACCAACATGAATTTGTCCCAGCTCCAGGAGTCAGTGGAAGACAGGAAGACCTGGTGTGCTCTGGTCCATGGGGTCATGAACAGTTGGACATGACTTAATGACTAAACAACAACAATATACCATACTTGGTATAACTTTCAAACACTGGCATAAAATGTGTGCAATTGTTGTGGGCACAAGGCCAGCACTGGGGCACACAGTGCCTTTTGAGTCTATGCTTTTTGTGGTATTTCGTCTTCAAGAAACAACTCCCAGCATGTGAGGATGTATGACAAATCCCTTGCCAGCTGAGCATTTTAGATATCTGAAGTGACCAAGAGCTCTGGTATGGCTAACTCTGAATAAAGCTGTTTATGAACTGGTTGACTGTGTGGGAATGACTTAAAATCTCCTTTTGCTTTAAACATCTGGTCTGAATTGTTCACCCAGGCTGCTACTAGATGCCACCCACCGATGTTGGCCCTTAATCTTTTTATTTAAAAAACAAAACAAAAACATCATCAATCGATCTTCTAGTCCAGTCTTACCCAGCATGCTGCCTCCAGAGGAGTCAAATAACATCTCTCAGCACCCCTAACTCCTAGGACTGGGAAGAATGTGGGTCTGTGTTAAGATATCTAAAGGCCACTAAGCCAGGGAAGATGGTTTTGGTCACACTCCACAGGCCCCTTACCATCAAATACTTCCAGCCAAAGATTTTGAAACTATCTGCCAACAGATGGTCAGGGGCAGCCACCTAGAAACAAAAGCCTTGCATTTGCAATGATACAACATGTACACTGGCACATGCTAAATCCACTGATATTTGATAAACCCACTAACTTCCAAGCTAAGGACAGCATGATGGCCTATATATGTAATTTAACTTTGAGGAGAGTGCATGCATGTTATTTCCCTCCGCTCTGTTTCCTTGTTTGTGAATCCTAATACAATAGCAAACATCTTCAATCCTTTATGTTCAGACTATCAGATCCTAAGTAAGTTACTAAGGGCCTGGCTACATGACTTGACAGGAGTGGCAGGTGTGAGCTAAACAGGATTGCTTAAGACCAGATGGAGATCCCATATGCCGTGTGGTGTGATATTTGCATCCATATGCCCCAGCAACCTCATTTGGTTTGCTGTACCTTTTACAGAAAATAAAAAATTGAAGGCTTCCTCCTGGAAGCGGGAAGAGACAGGAAGTGTATTTTTTTAAAATATATATCTTTACAGCTCAAGATGCCAATTTGCTTTCTGCCAGGGACAGAAAAGCTGTAAAGAAAAGTGGGGGGGGGGAGTTGCCCTACATAGATTTTAAAATTTGTTTTTGCTTCCTCCATCTGCTCTATGAGCAGAGAGAGGATATTTTCAATTTTTCAATTACACCATATCATTAAGCGGTTAAACTGTCTGTATAAACCACTAATGATATGGAGAAATTGAAAACCAGCTGGCAGGTTGAAGCAGGAAGCATGTGATGGAAACAAATCAAAACAAAGTTATCCTACTCACACCAAAAATGTAGACGCTCCTGACAGAGAACCAGAAAGGTGCAGGCAGGAGCGCTCTGGGGGTGGGCTGATTTGCTCCAGAAAAGACACTGTCTGATTGCTGACTTTGGGAGTGAACCAGCCCATCCCCACATCAGGCTAAATGCTCATGTAGTCACCCTGCAAGGATCCACTAGAACATTGTTTAAAAATGAAATGCTCACTCCTTTTTTAGTTGACTACCTCATGTATCATAAACAGGGAGGAAAAGATAGCCATTTTTTATACAACAAAGTAGCTCATTTGCTAGGTTGCTCCCTACTTTAGGCAAAGTGAGGTAAATGCTGCAGACAACAGACTGGATGTCACAAAGGGGCAGCAAGTGTTCAGATGTTTAGTTTGCTGTTATTACCATTTCTATTGTCAAAGATGGGGAGAGATGGTAATGGGGTATTTTACCTTAGGTGACAAAGCAACTGCACAGGCTCTGGATATCATGTTCTGCGACCTGAATGGGGAGGGGGTTCAATTTCATCTTAGTAACAATGACTTTCTCTGGATTCAGGCACTATGTTTAGGAAACAGGAAGTGCTTTGTGGTCACTTGAAATGAACCTAAAGTTGTTTGTTTCTCACTGCCTTCCAGATGTGGTGGCATTTCAGTCTTGGAGGCTGGACTCTCCACCCTGAAAGTGAATTCAGCAAGGGAAAGTTTCCGTTTATAGATGTATACTGCTAGCACCTTCCGACAGCTGATATAGGCCCAGAACTGGTTCTTTATAGATGGTTCTTCCCCTCCCCATGCAAACAGGGTATGCCTGTCCAGACAGTGTCTAAGACATAAACAGACCCTTCCAGGAGTCCCCTTTCCCCCAATTGTTTTGGGGGGAAGGTAGGAGCTTCCAAGTGAAAACCGCTCCTCCTGGAAGCCATTTGGGGAGGAAACACAGTGTATGTATGCACCTTTTTGAAGCTGGTGTATCCTGGAGTGGCTGTAGGGGCTATAAAGTTTCCAATGGATGGCATATGCAGGCCACAGGCTCATCCTTGGCTTTTTACATTGCCTCACATAGAGTGCTGTGCAAAGGGTCAACCCATACATTCAGTTTTGAGTTTATAACTGCCTAGTGATCAACTGATGATAGATCCAGTGATACACATGAATGCTGCAACACTCCTCATTTTCAGTAAATATACCAAGAGTGGATGCATTGGTTTAGGGGCAAAGGGTGGAGCGTTTAACATAGCCACTCCCAGCCTAGAACCTTCTATATGTCTTGGGTTCTAACTCCTGGCATGTGCAACCAGCTGTCAGGCTGGCTGGGGTGATGGGAGTTGTATTCCAAACAATGTGGGGAGGCTCTAGGTGGGAAGAAGATAGGTCCTGTTCTGCTGTGTGATCAGGAAAGGACATTTTAATTACCACTTTCTATTCTAAATTAACCCAACAGATATAAAGATAATTATTTTGTATTGAATTGTTACTGGTGCCTGTTTTATAGATTTAAAGAAAAAAAATCAGGAAGGTAAGAGTTTTTTTAGAACAGGAACGTAAAAATTTTGTTAGTGGCTGCTAAAGTCCAGCATTACAACAAAAGGGGTAAATGTGTAATAGTAATCATAATCATAATCAAAATACCACCATCTTTATTGCATAAGTGTGCTGAGAAATCCTTCCACTTCAAAGAGCTTCATTCCCATCTCTCTTCTTTCCAGTCCGTACAGCTGGTTTTGTGGATTGTCGATTACTCAACAACCAGGCATGGCGATATTTTGCAGTGTCTTGGTAGCTTAAAAATTGAAAATAAAAATAAAGCAGCATCAGCAGCAACAGCAGCAGCAGAAGACGAGGAGGAAGGAGGTCAGAGGGCACGGTTCTTTTCATATGTTTGTGACATCCGGTCCTTCTAATTGAAGTAATTCTTCAGAAGAAACCAAAAGTGACAGTTGAGAAAAGGTACAAGCCATAAATACTTCCAAAAGGACAGGGGTTTAGAAAATAATGCCCAATCTTCTGGCCATAAGCTATTATCTCCCAGTTGAATGGGATTGCACTGTCCATGCTGGAAAGCCGACTTCAGATGGGAGGGAGAATTGTGGCACGACGTTTCCTGCTTCTTTGTGTGTATGGGACAATACGGAATGCCCCCTTTTGTGCTAACGCCATCAAAAGTGGGATTCAGCCCTGCTGAATTCACTGTAGCTAAAAGAGACCCAGCTCTTGGTACTTCCATTATTATTATTATTATTAATTATTATTATTATTTTTGTTTTGACAAGGTAGCATTTTTTTTTCAGACAAGCATGTGCCTCCGGCGGTGCAATGCCAAGTGATCTGAACGGGAAAAACTTCGGTCACAGTCTGCGCACTTGAAGGGCTTCACTCCCGTGTGCTTGCGGTAGTGCCTCGTCAGTTCATCTGAACGAGCAAATTTCCAGGTGCAGCCTTCCCAGGTACACTTGTACGGCTTCTCTCCTAGCAATCAAAGGAAGGAAGGAAGGAAGGAGGGAAGGAAGGAAGGAGGGAGGGAAGGAAGGGAGACATGAATATTGGATTAAGAGAGCTTGACAAGTCATCTAGAAACCCCAAACAGAACAGATGTTTGAGAAGCAGATCAATTCAGCCACTGACCAAATCATCCACTAATTTTCTCTCAGTCTCAATTAACAGGATCCTCAAACTGACTATTATAAGGGACAAAATACATTAAACTAAGTGGAGCACAATCCATGAAGCACCTTAAATTGTTCCTTACACCAAAGCAAGGACTCATGGGCACCCTCAGCATCATTGTGGCCAGGTAGGGAGGAATGTTCAGCCTTCACCTGTATGTGGTTTCCCCCTTAAATTACCCGTGAAGGCTAAGGAATGGGGAGAAAGCCTTTGTTTGTACCAATGGAGGCCTTTTTGTTTTTTTAGTCCTGCACAGGAGGCGAACATAAGAGGAGGGGAGAAAGTGGCTAAAGGGATGTTATAATCATGCACCACAGGAGCTGAACAGTTCCTGTCTGGATGACAGCTGCACTATGGACTGTGGTGTAAGAAAGAATTAATTGCATGCTGAATATTTAACATCATGTTAGTCTGGCTCTATACATATAAGGAATAGCCATGGATTCATCTCATAGGTTGCCACATAATACTGCCCAAAGAAGGCAACTGCAGGGAGATTAATCCAAATAGTAGAGAAAAGCCTATGAAGCCTTTTCCAGCATGGGTCCTCTAGGACACTGGTTCTTAACCTTGGGTTACTCAGGAGTTTTGGACTGCAACTCCCAGAAGCCTTCACTATCAACTGCGCTGGTTGGCGTTCCTGGGAGTTACAGTTCAAAAACATCCAAGTAACAAAGGTTAAGAACCACTGCTCTAGGACAGTGGTCCCCAACCTTGGGCCTCCAGATGTTCTTGGACTACAACTCCCAGAAGCCTTCAGCACCACCTCTGCTAGCCAGGATTTCTGGGAATTGAAGTCCAAGAACATTTGGAGGCCCAAGATGGGGGACCACTGCTGTAGGAGGAGGTACTGGACTACAGTACTCATTGCTTATAACAACAAGCTGGAATACCGATGGGAACTGAAGTTTAGCAAAATCTGGGGAACCCATGTGGGTGATTTTTTAAAAAAGTCAGCAGACTAGGTAACTACTCCTTAACACACAATCAAGACTTCTGCCTGAACAGAAGAGCATTTTCATTGGCTATTGCAGGTTAAAGCAACTTCTCCTTCATCTTCATTTCTCTTCCTCTCCCTTGATATATTCCTGATTTATACTCCACAGAGAAGCTGGGTTGGTAACAGATTTGCAATCTAGATTACCAGAGATAGGGAAAGGTGTTTTTGTTTTTGTTTTTAATGATAACTCTCAGAGTATGCTAATGATAATACCAAGTCACTGATTAACTTTCCCCATCCCTGAGATTTTCTCAGAGCTACAACAATATTGCAAGCAACATACACACGCACAGAGGCTGAAATCCAGTTGTAAGTCACAGCTAGAGGAGGCCCATTGAACCAACAGAATTTCCAGAGAGGTTGACTCAGCAAAAATCCACTGATTCAATGGGCCAGCTCTAGTTGTGTCTTACTACTGGATTTCAGCCAAAGATTACTAGCATTCGCCTTGTCAAATTCATTTAATGGAACAAGAACACTTACTTCTGAACGTGTCAGGTTTAATAGTGATATATTGTGGATGAAAATGATCAATATATGCTCAGAGCAGCCACAGTGTTGGCTGTAGCATTCTGGTGGATCTCTCACCCTTCCACCACCACAGTGGCCAAATGTGAGCAGGCAGTTGGAAGGTTTTTATTCATATCTGGATGGTCATGGCATCGAGGTCCAGGAATTTGGCAGCTGGTAGAAGAATGGGCATGAACTAGGTGACAGATGGCTGGCTGTTGCTAAAGACAACATGTTTTGTAATGGGCTATGACATACCCTCACCACAAACAGCTGCCCATTCATGCCATGCAAATGCACTAGTCTCTCATTTGATTTGGAAGGAGCTCTACAACCAGAAATCTGGGGGGAGATGAAACTCTAAGAGTACAGTATCTATGAAAGGAGCAATGAAGGCCAATATGGAAATATGAAAAACTAAATGCAAGTAGCCTAATACATTTAAACTAAAATTACTACATTACTTCAATATTTATATGTATTTTTTTTAAAAAATATCAAATACCCTTCTCTTTGTCCTTAAGCCAAGGGTCCACCATGCTGTTGTCAAGCTAAGAAAGTGATAAGGCAAGAAAGCAGACAAATCCTGCCCTGTTCTCCCTTTCTCAATCACTATATGGAACGGAAGGCGATTACGAACCTGTAGGCACGTCGCCAGGAGGAAAGTTTCTGTTTAACTCAAATCTGTGGTTGTCGTGTGATGTCAGGTTGCTTCAAAATTATGGTGACCTTAACAAATATTTGACATGATCAAGGAGTGGTTTATCATTGTCCCCACCCCCGATGAGTTTCCATGACCAAGTGGGTTTTCAAACCCCTGTCTTCACAAATGAATATATCAGAACAAAAAAACAAAATAAGTTATCACAGAGAAGACAAGAGTCAGTTTTGCAAATAATTTCCGATCTCAATCTTTCCTTTTCATCTATGTAACTTATCTTATGGATGTATCATAAGAAGTGACCAGATGGCACAGACAAGAGTCCATCCATCTCAGCATCCCGTTTCCAACAGTGACCACCAACTAGGAAGCCCACTAGCAGAACATGTATGCAACAGTCATCCTCTGTTCCCTGGCAAATGAGGATGTGTGACTGGAATGGAGGTTCCATTCAGTTTAAACAGCCAATAATTTTCTCCTTTGAACAGTCCTTTAAGGATTATGTTAAGGACTTGCCCAAGTTCATGTACTGAGTGTCATGTCTGGATGACTGAATGAATTTAGATACAAGTTAAACACACACTTACAGAGAGACACAACCCTCCTCCATGTGCACACTCTCATGTGTTTACATCCTTATGCACATGCTCTCTCTCTCTCTCTCTCTCTCTCTCTCTCTCTCTCTCTCTCACACACACACACACACACACACACACACACACACACACCCTTTCCCTTTAGTTATTTAAATGCCCCAAACTGGGTTGAGGTCTTCTGATTCCTTTAATTTATTGTCTCCCAGTCTACAAAATTACTTTTCAACTGAGCTCAGGAAATGAACATTTGTGTTATGTACCATCAGATTGGGATGAACATGTAGCAAACTTAGTAGGGCTTTCAAGGTAAATGAGACATTTAAGGATTGGTTCCACCAGTTTCACCAACACACCACAGTGAATTTCCATAGCTAAGTAGGGATTTGAACCCAGGTCTTCTAATTCCCAATCAGTCACCATATCCACTACACCGCGCTGGGTATCCAGGCATGCCCATACACTATTTCATTTGAAACCTTCCTGAAGACTTTTTAGAACAGATTTGACTGCTTTAATTTACTGTATACTGCCTTGAAATCTATGATATGGAGCAATTAATATGCTCCAAAAATAATAAATCTACACAATTCAGAAAAAAATCACGAGATATTCCAAGTTCTTGCCAATCCCCTCCCATTGCTCCTTGGCAGACCTATATTTTTTCATGTTGGAAAAAGGGAAGGGCAGCCTCCGAAACCACAAGAACAAAAGAAGAGGCAAATCTTTAATTTGCTGAAGAATGGTAATAATTTATTATTACAAATAAATTGCTCAAGACATTTCAATAGGAATCTTGGAGAGAGAAAAACTTTGTGTGAGGGGAACTCTCCTAGCTGGTGTACCACAGTAAAACAGATGATGACCCCCTGACCCAAAGAAGATGAGTTTACATCTGATAATAAATTATGACTATTGAGCACCAGCTTGAGGCTCTGCCTCGCCTTTTTTTTGTTCTGTTCTTCATCATGGCTATAATCCAAAACTTATTTTTTGTTTCCAACACAGAGTGCTTAGATCTGTGCTCAATTGTAGCCCATGTGCTTCCATGTTCCATTGGCAAAGGTTTACCCCATGGGTCATTCCTACTGCATCCATAGGGTTCCCTGGCTAAAAGAGCCACCTGCCCTGTTTGTTGTCTGTTTCCACTGGAGGAATTAAGAGAGCCCACAAACAGCTGCTTCTCCTCCACCCCCTCCATTGCATTCTTACGGTCTTTAAAGTGGGTTACAATAGTTTTCCCCCCCACATATACAAACTATTAGAAACTTTTTCGGGTCTGCACTGATCAAAATGAGAATTGATCTCTTCCTGGAACAGCCCTTTTTGAGTAATCGCCCTATGGTTTCTTTGACCTCAGCTCTGCTTTTCCATGAAATCTGAACAGAGACAAGTTGAAGATTGGGTAAAGATAGTTGTAGTTGGCAGCCAGAGGGTAAGCTATTATAAACTGTAATTTGCAAAGTTGACTCTAACCCAGAGAAGATCTTAGCCATTTTTAGCAGCTATTTTTAATACAAATATTTAACATTTTCCCAAAACAACCTCTGAACATGCCCACATGCTGAACTCCCCGTTAATTACTGTTGTTAAATGATTTTTCACCACACCCTTCTTCCCAGAACCTGATACAACAAAACAAAGAGCTCAACTTCAAGTATGACCTTGGGTCTCAACGAAATCTAATTAATGCACACAGACATCTAAACTGCCAAACTGCATCAGAAAGGCAAATCTTTTTCTCGTGACCTCACTCTTCCATCTGCTGGGTGAATCTGATGAGAGAACGTAGCTCATAAATGTACAGGTAACCAACTACATTTGGCGTTGTGTCCCAAACATGTAGTATTTGCACACTAGAAAATGTTTTAATGTGACTATACTGTATATCCTTTGTGTACAGAAAACCCCAGCATACATACATATAGGGCTATGGAGGGGAGAAATGAAGCAAATATTGCTTCTCTTTTGATGGATGATGAGCTCCTGGGATTAGATGAAACCTCAAAGACATTTTGCGGGTACTTCAAGAGCTGCT